TCCATCGCTCCCTTACTTGCGGCAGACCAGCTGTCATGATTTCCAGCCCACTCATTACCATTCCTCTCTCATGTAACTGTCGCTTCGTGAAGCTTTCATCCCACCTCTCCTCTACTGCACGTCGGGTGGCAAACTGAAATGTTATGTAAAGAGGATGTGAGCTCAACTTATGTGTATGTATGTGGAAGTATGCACTGTTTACCTGCAGTGGGCAAAAAAAGGTTTGTGGATGTAACTAGGTCATGCAGTATGGCAGAGTGCATGTACAGAAATGTAGGGACAGAAAATAAAAAAAATGAAGAGTTTGAATGATCTGTAGTACTGGCCCTTCTTCAATATAGTGTTTTAGGATTAAATTGACCAATAATTGATGAGCCAAGGCAGAAGTGGGAAATGATCCACAAGTCCTATGAACAGATCAAATATTTGAAAAAACATTTCGTTGATTATGTCTACCTTGTTTGCATACTCATTTGCAAAAAAAACCCAAACAAACAAACAAAAAAAAACAGACAAAATGAACCATTAATGTAATGATAATTTATCATAATAAGGGTATGTAATAAGTATTTTATATAATTCTAAAATTTCCAAAGGTATCTGACTGCCCCTTCATTATGGACATGCCAAGTTTTAGGGGATGTTGGGGTGAAGCTTTGTGTTGTAGCTAACTACACTTTCTGTTAGAGCACACCATTGGTGCTCTGTTTGTATTTACTTTGTCGACCAAGCACCTCAGTGAGTGTTGACTGTCGAGACAAAGGCTATGCATCTTGAGGTGCAGTATTCTTTTCCACAGCTGGTAAAACTGGGTCAGGTGATCACATTTTAGGTGTAAGTTTGTTGTGTTTCCTTTTTTTGTTGTCCAATGGATTTATTGATCATCTACCCAAGGCCTAATATGCATGTAATGCCCTAATTAGTAAATATTAAGTTGCATTTACACCAAGTTCTACAAGGCGGTTTAAGGTTCATAGGCAGGCAGCAGAGTGATAGGAAGTAAACAATTAAAGAACATCAATTCCAAAACAAAAGTGGTCCTTTATTAGGAAATATGGCCTGAACTTTCCAATGACAATATGCAGATTCATATTGTCTGTACTTTACACAGCGTTCACTATAAGCCACAGTATTATTGCATTTATGGTTTAAATTGGGAAAATAAGATATATATATTTGTGATGCACCGAAATAAAGATTCTTGGCTGAAACCACAAACCGACAACGAAGAACCCAAGGCCAATTATCAGTACCACTGCATTTATGGCTATGACTGTGTATTAAACCTCAATAAAATCAAGGCATTTCAATTGCATACATTAATAATAAATAAATAATAAATTATTAATTGTCAAAATAATTAATTGTCAAATGTCTAGCAAAGAAATAACTATTATTATTGTGAGGTACTCTCTTGCAGGATCTCACAGTACATATCAGACAACGAGGGTGCCTGCCCCTCATCTGGCACACTGCTATCCTTCTCCTTATATAAATAATCAGTCACATGTACAGGTAACAGGTGTGAAACACACACATCTACATCATCTTTTTCCCGGCAGAAGAAATTAACAAAAAAGTATATATTTTTTAACACATTTATAAATGTTACTTACTCTTGATTAATCTATGATTAATTATTATTGTTATTAACAGCCAAAGTTGGTTTTTAACCTTTGTTACTCCCAACTTTTCCAAGTGCCATTGTGCTTGTTTACGTAATTATGTCTTTCATCTGATGGAATGAGAGACAAACATAAAAACCGCAGGATTCTAAAAAAGGCACATAGGATTACCAAGAAGATATTAAGATGCACAGCAATGCTTTTATCTTTGGATAAACCGCCTTTTCTTGGCACAAATAAAAAGGATAGTAAAGTAGAAAATTACAACTGTCAGACAACGCAACCTCACTAACTGATCAGACGAATCATACATCCTGCTTTATTTTGATTATGACATTTATTATGATGAAGAACAAGCAAGTGGGTTTTATAGAGGAGGCTTGCTTTGTGTCAAGCACCCAGAAACAAACATGTCATAACTATAGAAAAACAGATGTCTGAAGATTTCTTCAGGGTTTCCTTATATAGTCTCAAGGTGGACATAACACACTGATCATGTGAGATAAAAGGATGCAGTAAAAAATCTGTTTAAATAAGACCAAGACACTATTGTATTATGTGGATCACATCTTGAGAGACATGAAGAGCAAGCACGAGAGATGAGAGTGTGACAGGGCACAGCTGTCCCTGATTTAGACAGATATAGTTCATACATGAATGCACCAGAGTCAGACACTGCGTATCGACCTGGGTGAGGTGGAGAGAAAGGTAAACCAGATTTCATATCCTTCTTTCTATGCAACACACAAAAAATGAAACAGCTGACATAAAAACAAGTATAATGTGGACAAAAATACAATTCACCATGTTGCTGAATTAGTCAATGTTATGTAGCAATTGTCACCTGTCACATCTGTCTCTGCCTAATTTTCCTCAGGTTCTTAGCTTTACACTAAATGGCATGTAGTACAGTATCATGTTACCAAGGAAATCTTCTTAGCATGCTTTTATAATTGGAAGCGATTTGGTAACTTATCATAATAAAATGTTTTATATACATTAGTCACATCGTAATAAAATGTTTTATATACATTAGTCAGAAAAATGCACATCGATGTTTGTTTTTTTTCTTGTCAATGTTACCAAATGACGCACGGCCCTGTACCGGGCCACAACTTAGTGGTCGTAGGCCACTTCCATAACTAACAGTTACAGTACAAATGCTAGTACAAGACCTGACCCCCTTGTCTTTTAAGGTCATTAGTATGAAGCTGTATCTCGTTTAAAATGCTTACAACAACAGGGAGGAAGCGACGTCTTATTCAGATCATGTTACTCATGTTGTGTCCAGCAGATAAACATGCAGTATGTCTCTGTTTAGTTTTTCATCAATCCCTTTGGGGGAGATCTGGCTCATTAGCTACTACTGCAAATGCTCCACAACTGACAACAGCTTACTGTGCTTTTCTGTGGTTCAATATTGAGTATGTAAGACACAGTAACACAGAGTTAACTTTGAATGGTAAAAACACAGACAATAGTCAATCAAAAGCAAGTACGCAATGGTACATAAAGAGCAACAGATACAATCAAATCTGTAAACAGTTGTGTGTTGTTGAGAGTTGTTGATGTTATCTTAACAACATGATGTCAAACATTCATTTCCTTTAATGTTTCTGTAGAGTTTGTGGCAACAGAAATGTTCTAATGGGGAGGCCTAGAAATGTTGATTTGCTGAATACAACTCCCAAAGTAAAACGCTGACATACAGAATGTATGTTTGTGACACAGGTTTTGTAGAAAGTATATTCCAAGATATGACATGTTTAATTTTGTAGATGATTTTACCACCTAAAAAAACCCTGAAAACAGAATGTATCTCTTGGTCATCTACCTTTTTTTTAAAACATATAAAACACTAAATATCTGTACCTACAACCACCTGACATAAGTCCAGACCCTTTCCAAAATAGTTTGATTAGAAAATAAATGTTGCAGATACATAGTAAAAGACAAAAGCATATTAAAAGCAAGACAACTAATGTATTGATCTGCAATATAATGTCTGTACCTTTTAGGTGGCCGTCAGTCATCGAGGATGTACTGTATTTTCTAATGACTAAAAACGTCTAGTAACATTGAAAACAAATATTTTTTTCAAAGAAATTAGCAATTACAAAATATTATATTTTTGAAAAATACACAACACAAACCCTGTGTCTATGAATGAATGGAATGAGAGTTGGTCAGGTCAGCTGAAGTTGACACCAAATACATCATGTTCCCTTGTTCAGTGAGTCACCACTGTGTCCGTGGGAAAATGTAAAGCTGACAGTTAAGGATTGGATTCATCCAAGACACTATGCTAATGATGGGGTGTGATATTTATGGCATATCCTTCATGAATACTTCATGAGGGATATGGCTTAATGCTTCATATTTTATAGTCAGTGTGTAAAAAGAGCTACAGTTCAAAATTTGTGAGGATGACATCATATGTTGTGATATGTACAGTGCTATACGCTGCCCCCTCCCCTTCTGTAAACATTTGTTTTAAATACATTTCTAATAAAAACAACATTTTTGTATTAAAACCATTGTTTTAAACTGAGTGTGAGTAGAATGTGGGTGATGGGTGATGATGCTTTATAGCAACGTTGGGTTCAAATGAGGAATGTCAACTATTCCAAGTATTGGAAAAAATCTGTTTCCCACACTGTCCATGCCTTGGAAAATTTCTAACATCAATGATCAAGATACTTTAAGGAAGAAGAACCAAGGAAGTTGGTTTGTTGCAAACAAAATAAATTTTATGTCGTCAAGACATGACACTGATGCAAACGCATGTGCTCTGCCTTGACCATCCTGAACCATGTATTGCACAAATTATAACACAGTGTCAACTCTGTCTAATTGTGATTATCATTATCATGAGATCATCAGATGACAGGGAAACTGCCTCCAGATTACAGCTACCATTTTATGCAATTACTCAACTTATTTTTGTTTATCCTCAACGCACACTGACCTGAATTAACCTAAACTGACTGACATTTTCTTCAGCCAATTTGCCTCTTGGAACATGGCTGAAATGCCTTTGGGTGATGGCAGGAAACAGGTTTTGCATCATGCTGAAAGGTCACAGTGTTAACCACAGTGTTGACCAAATACTTGTACTAACAAATACCGTACTCAGTGTGTACTAAGTATCATAAATGCACTGTGTTTTCCAGGAAGATTCATTATATCATCTATTGTTTTATATTATTTCATAGCAGACCTATAACTATTGCTTTTATTTGTCCTTGTCTTAACCAGTAATCTGCAGATATTAAGAGTGAAAAAATTAGCTGAGACAGTTTGGGCCATGTTTGCTTGGACTTCCATGTCATTGTAAACTCAATATAAACCGGTTTATGCCTCTGGGTCACTCACCACGTAGAATGCAGAAGAAGGAAAAATTTCACACTCCTGGTCCACTCTTCTTGTACTTTGGTTTGCTTCCTGCTTTCATTCACCTTCTAATCCTAACTGAGCTTGACAGCTTCTCTCCTGAAAAAGGATGTGAAAAAAAATCATTAAAATCCCTTTAAAAGACTGTTAGAGGGTGAGGGTTACAGGTGGGGTTAATTCAGCTTATAGAACATAACGGATGCTCAGTAGCTCACTATTACCTTATTCTTAGTTTAAACTTTTAGTATAACACAATGATTTTTGGTTGTTTTGAATATATTCAATTGTTATTCATTCTCATTGTAGTTTTAATAAGCTATGGTTATTGTCAAAATCAGTGCAGAATTCTAAAGTTGTGTTAAAATATGTCTATAGGAAATGGAGGGTAAACCATTCACTACATTAGTACAAAAGCAAATATCATACACAAAAAATGTAATATTTTGGTGTGTGATTTAAACTAGTAGAGATAAACAAATTTGCTAAGTAAAGACCCGAGTAAACGAATACACCATCAATCATCTGCATTTCAGCATTACACTTAGTTAAACTTAGCAGTAAACATTTCCCAAAATTCACCTTTTAGCTTTAACAGCAGCAGTGAGATGCCATCCAGTTCAGCCAGAAGATCCTGATTGCAGCTGTGAGAAAATCACACTGCCTGGTGATGTGTAACTTGCTCCAGATGTCGACTCATCTGTCTCCTGTCTCTTGACTCTGTCTGTGTACATTCAGAAGGCTCCAGTAGATGAAGTAAGAAATTGACTTTACACATGCAGGAAAAAGGTCACTTGCCATATGTAAGTCAAACACTGCTGCCAGATGTTTCACCCTAATGGAACAACAGAAACAAAAGAATCAGACAAATCTTGAATGCTTGAAAGTTTGTGTTTTATACAATAATGTAATAAATAATAGTTTCTTATGTTTTGTTGTGCACTGATTAATGGTTTCTAAACCCTTTAACGCGTTCTAAATAGTTTAGATGAAAACAGATATTTAAATCCATTGGACAAAGGGCACAAAAGAATAATCATGGTAAAGAGTTATAGATTACCATTTCAGCATTAGCATTTCACCTGCAATGGCTTTTAACTTGTTTTACCATTTAACTTGACGATGCCTCCTTCCAGAATTCCATTCAACTAAGAATATAATTATTTAGTTTACTGTTTCATATGGTACTACAGAATTCAAAACGTGAAAGCTTTAGGCCACATAAAACCTGGGCACGCTCCTCAATTGGCACTCGGGCCAGACTTTAGACAAACCTGTAGTGGCGCTAGATTTTCCTGTTTGTGTATTGGAATACCTTAGTTTATAAGGTTGTATTATGGGTTTAGCTAAAATGCTAAAAAGGTTTTACCTTTCCCGATCATAAATTTTGTGTTGCACCCCTTGAATTTTTCTATATTGCCATTGTGGGCTTCAGTACTGTGTACGTATGTTCTAAACCTTGACTACTTTAAAATCATTCAGTGAAAAATGAAACCGATTTGATTTGCTGTGACGTCATCTCAAAGTCACAAACAAATTGTTTCGGTGAAACCACTAACATTGGGGTTTAATTCCTCTGTCATCGAAAATTCAACAAATGCAAAAGGGAAGCCCGCGAACATTTGAAACACCGTGGAGCCAAGTTTAAAATAGTTTCATCCCGCAGACCAAGATAAAAACACAAGCTGAATGTACAACGAATAAATGGAGAAGTAATGGGACTGGACTAACAGTCGTTAGCTTAACGACCAATAAACGTTCTTTAAGTGTTGATTAATACTCGTACAACAAACTCAAACCAACCTGCACACTAAGACAATGCGCCAAAAATAGACGCTTATTAAATAAAAATCTTTTAAAAAGTGAATTCAACAGTAATCTTACCTGTTACACTAAAATGTCATCGGAAGTGGCTTCTTCATGTGCATCATCCCACAACTGTCAGAGTGAAGTTCGTCAGCTCAAAGATCGCATATTTATAACATGATGCGCTGCTAAAGGAGCTAAAACTGCCATGCTCTTTTACAGCTAGTCTATAAATATGTTTTTACCAATATGAAGCATGTACCTCTGAACAAAACGTGTGCTATTTTATTGAGTGTACGACATACCTTTAATAAATGTAACAAGAAACAGTAATATAAGTACTAAACATGCGTCATGCTTATTTACTTTTGTGCTTGTCAAGAATAGGGCAAAGTGAAACATCTGTTACAACGGAAATGCTGTTATTTGTTTATGTAAGCCTATACTGCCACCCACTGGTTTAATAAGAAAACAGCCATAAGTGTCTGTGCAGATTTTCTCTTCAATTTAAGTTACTGACTTTATTTTTATTTTATTTTTTTTAAGTCCAGTGGCCAATTTGAAACTCTTCGAAATTGTAAAGCAGTACTAGGAACACACAAAAACATCTAGATGCACACTCAGAAGTTTAACAAAAAAGAAAAACAAAGAAGACAATCTTTAATTTCGAATTTTTTTTCTAAGAACGTTAATGAATTACTAATCTGAAAAAACCCATACAAATAAAACAAATGGAGAGGTTTCAAAGTTTAAAATTCAGTTTGATGACCCTATAATGATAAATTTTAGTGATTTGATTGGTTTTACTCTATCTATCTATCTATCTATCTATCTATCTATCTATCTATCTATCTATCTATCTATCTATCTATCAGAAGCAACTCTTAACACGTCAAAAACACGAGTGTAACAAAGAACTAATTGCGCCATAGATTGTGTTGTGAAGATGCAATTTAACCAGGGGGTGGCGCCCAAGAGCTGTTGTCCACAGTCCAGTGCGTCACAGTTAATTTCATACCAGTTGAGCTGCAAAGAGAAGATTCATGCATTTTTTTCTCTTTTTAATCTGATGTCAATTTTACTCAGTTGTTTGAAAATACACACCTTTTAATTAGACAAGTCGATGAGTTTATATAGCGTACCTCGTTAACCAGGCGAAGCAGTGGACGCAAACAAGGTCAATGTAATGTATGGTTCAAATAGTGTCACTGGAGGTGGCAGAGTTAAAGATTTCCATGACGACTGACAGGATGTAAAGAAGATGGAGCTGCCAGGCCAGGGTGGAGGTGAGAAAATTCATGGATGGAGTCGAGGAGAATATGACACTTTTTGGTTTTAACAGTGGAGAAGGCAAAGAATTAAATTAAACACAGACAGGTGATCAACTATGTGAACTTTTGAAAAAAGCAGTCAGAAAGAAGTAGAAAAATGAATAAAATAAAATGAACATTATGTGTATATTACTTTCATTAAACACACATTCTTATAAGTCAAACATTATATATTGTATACATTTTTGAGGCCAATTCTTCTGTAGTATTTTAAAATTAATGATAATAATGAAATATAACACTCTAAATAAACAATTCATTTCGAGAAATAATTTGTAGCAATTATAACAATTCAGTAACAGATAATTACTGCATTTATATTTATTAATAATGATTAATTTCATTGAATGGATCTTTCAGAGCTAATTATCAACAAATCTATCCACCTTTTGGCCACTACCTCCTGTTCAGAATCTATAGGGCCTCTGTGTTGGATTTAGCAACATCTAGTGGTAGAGCCACATGTAAATACATGGTGACCCACCCATTCTCTGCAGAAAAGATTTACTGCTGATGTGAAAATAATAATAAAAATGCCATTCTGGGTTAATTAAAACAAGAACTCAATGTTTCACATCATAGCATAAAAATAAAAAAATAAAAACAAACAAACAAAAACCCAGAAAACAAAATTGACACTATTTACTACTTTTTTGTCAGCAGAATTAAAATATATAAATTATAAAAGATTTACTGTACATATTTAGGTACAATATTTGGAATAATTTTATGCAAATTATGGGCAGTTAACAATTATTTAACCACATTTTGCAAGATAAAATAATACCATCATCACACAGAGGTTTTGGTCAAACCTGTCCTTAGATCTGCTCTCACTGTATGTTAAAATACGTTCCATTCAGGCAGCTGGATGATTTAAGTTTTTTTAACTATTCAATGACTATTCAGAATTGGATGCAAAACATTAACTATGCAGGGATTTACATATGAATACATGAATAGAAACAATAAAAAGTGCTCATCAGGATGAGAATCTCTGCTGTTTATTGTTTGACTTAAATTGAAGATGTTGCTGTGCGGTCAGGGAATAACTGAGTGAAATAGTTCATAATTCATGTCGTCTTTCTGTCCAAATGTGAAAGCCATTCTATGCTTTAATTAAGCATTGTTAACCACAATTAACTGGCCATTTAAAGGAGAAGAATTGGGTCCAGTTTGGGCTTGAATGGTAATTTTGTCTTCTATTAAAATTATCTGAAGGAAATAAAAAGATTCATTTATAATGAGTGAGGCTCAAAGATGAGAGAAAGGAGCAAAAATGGTTTAAACAAACAAAACAAAGAAATGTGTCCAGAGGGAAGGATTACATTTATCAGGTCGGCAGACAGCAGGATCAGGATAACTCACAGAGAGCTTAGCAAGCTTAGGAAAAATGGAAAGAAAAGCAGAAAAATAAAACACTGCACATAAGCAACACGACAATGATTTTTTTTTTTTAAACTGACTGACTAATTTTGGACACAAAAGTTGGTAATTATATGAACAAATGTTTGGTAGAACTATCCAGATCTGGGCAGAAAGGGATTTGCTGACAGCTTTTTTAACACGGTACAACATTTTTTAAATGAATTAATTAGGCGATCACAGTAATTACTGTTTATATTGTTGTTAATGAGCCTAAAGGCAAGCGAGCTGCACTCATCCAAATTACAGTCATGAGGCACGGAGCCAAGAAAAGGTCCAAAACAGAGAGCAGCGTATGGTGAACACCAACAACCTGGTGAGGAGACAAACCAGGACCAGCTCCCGGAGTGAGACTGGAATCATTTAGTCATTGTTCACATTTAAATGTGTCTCTGTGTGTTTTAGGGAAATAACTTATTCAACATCTGCCTTCGATGTTGTCAGACCTAAAAAGACAGTATTGATCTGAGAGACACAGGAAGAAGACACGTCTGGTCTGAGCCTCAGTCGTTTTTCTCATTTTATCTGTCAGTTCATCAGGAGACAGTTTCAAGGTTTTCTTTTTCATTCTTCCCGTCCGTCAGATCTGTTCTCAGATTCAGTGTCAGCATCTTCTGATTGTGTTTCATCCTGTTCTACAGTGGTGAACAGGAGACAGGTTTACATCAGATCATGTTATAAACAAACAAGTTTGTAACAAAGGAACCTTTTGTTTTTATTTTTTAAGAAAACTTCTAATCTTTTTCTTTCCTTCTGCGTATCTTTTTATGTGTCCTTTGTTTGGTATTACTGTAAAAAAATGAATTAAAATATCTTTATATTAAATACAATTTTCTTCTTTCTTTTTTCGCTGCCTTCACAACAGGCTCACCAATCATATATATTTTCCATTAGTTATAAGCATAATGGAAACCAATTATCTTATATAATAATAATAATAATAATAATAATAATAATAATAATGTAATAAAATTGCTCAGTGGGAAGTTATTCATTTTTAGATTAAACATGTGATATTGGTATGATATCTATTGAAGCAGATAAGTATACAGTATGTACAATAATAGATCAACACTATAAATATGACATGTAAAACATAGGTGGAGTACAGCTGATTCTTATTCACTGAGTAATATTTAATGTAGATAAGCAGTTAAAAATAAACTGTTTTATTGTCACTGCAGATCTCATTCAAATCTCTGGGTCTGACCCAATCATAAAAAAAAAACTGTAAAAAAAAGAAAAGAAAAGAAAGAAAAACCCAGGAACAGTGTCTGGCACATTTTGCTGAAAAAACAAAACAAAAAATAACCAATTGATGAACCCATTATTGCCTTAGCTCTGGATGTGAGTGGGTGTGTGTATGTGTGCGTATGTGTGCTGGGTGTGGTTCATTTCATATGACAACTGTTGTGTGAACAGGGGAACAGGGGAAAACAGTGAGAGACGGAGAGAGGAGGAAGATGCTGCACCTGTGTTTGTGGAGGGGGGTCATCCAGAGTTGATGGAGTCTTCCTGCTTCCTGCTGCAAAACCAACAGGAAAGAGACATTTCTGTTGCCTTGGTAACGGCCAAGCCTGCCCCGACACATAAATAAGTACGAAGGAAACCTGAAAATAATACACAACATTGTGTTTGAAAAAAAAAAAACACAAATGAAATGAAAACAAAAAGCCCAGACATAGATCTGTGTGAGAACACACACCCGTGACCTCTCAGAGGAGAAGAGAAGAACACAGCAGTGACAGCACTTTAGTTGTCTGTCTGTAAGAAAAGACCTAACATTCCATAAGTGTAAGGTAAAGTACAAACCACAGGTTTGTATTGGCTGCTACAACAAAAAAAGGACTGTAAGATTTTTTACTTTACATACTTCATAAAGCCTACTGTAAATCTGCTGTCAATTTCAGCTGACCAGGAACTTAGTGACTGTAGAGAAGAACATTTTGTTTTGAAGTAAAAAAATTATAAATTATAAATCTGACAAATTACTCTAAAAGTCAACTGTGTGTAATGTTAATATTTTAATGACATGTAACTGCTCAGTAAATATCTGGACTTGTATTTAGGGTTGTTTTCTTTCATGAAAATAAAAGGACCAAAGTATAAATCTAGTTTGAAACAACCACGCCTGTGTCTGAGAGTGACGTATCTTGGACATTGACAGGCTAAAAGGAAACTGACCTGTTGGCCGAGCTCCAACATACCGCCGCCGCCGCTGCAGCAACACAGGAGGACAACAGCAGTCACCTGCTCTGATTGAGACGCTGCCTCAAACTGTTGTGACTGAGAGCAGATGGAGCATGGAACCTTATTTGCAGAGGGTCATCAACTCTCCTCAGTGCATGTTGACTCACAGAAAACTGCGAATCACACGTATGGTGACGTTTAAAAAACATAAACACCCATCTTTCCATACATGGTTCAGAAAAGTGAGCAGGGACATTGATATAAGATATATGATCTTCAACTACTAATTGGTGCAACGGCTATTCTCTGCTCCCTTGTGTCTGTGTCTGAATTCCTCTACATATAAGAGAACGTGTTCTGACCTCCTTTAATACAAGTCCTTTGAGTATTTGGTGTTTATTGTAACTAACCATGATGAAAACCTACGTTCAAAGGACCGTAAGCAGAGAATAATTCTCATTAAAACAAAAAACCAAGCATGGATAATGAATATATATATATAAAAAACACATTTCAGTGCACATCAATTTAGGCAGCTAGTAAATAATACAACAAGATTGTTTCACCTTCACCACAGTGGTGCCAAGTTATTATTAGGCCATAAAACACATGAACCAAACACATATAGTAAATGCAATTTCTGTATATTAAGAAAAATAGCATCTCATTACTGCATTATATTAACTTGACTTACATTACCTCTCTCTCTCTCCCTCTCTCATCCTCTCTGTCTGTGCTGCTGCAGCGTCTCTCAGACATTTATCTAAATAGATGTTCTCTAATTAATGTGTCTGGCAACCTTATTATTCTTTGAGGGCGATATTTTCCTCTCATGAAAGGCAGAGAAGGTCAATTTTAAAAGAGACCCAGGGGAAAGAGCAGGACGAGCTTAGGATCTGCTTGTGTCTACCTGTGTGTCTGTGTTTGTGTGTGTGTGAATGACCTGGTATAGCTAACCATGTGGGGACATATTTCTTGAATAATACTATTATGTGTGGACTATAAGTCCTTGTGGGGTTATTTAGCTGGTACCTACTGAGTGAGAAGGTATTTTGGGGTTATTGGTGGTGGGTGGTTGTGGTAGGTGGGGGCCCATCTAAAATGACTCATTTTTCAGGATTATTTAGGTCACAATAACTCAAATAATATGACAGTCCCTTGGGATTTAAATTAATACTTTTAATCCCAACTGTCCAATAAAATGACAAAAATTAAAAAAGAAGAAGTTAAAAGTATAAAATGACAAAAATTAAAAAAAAAAAAGTTAAAAGTCTTTTATTTAATGGTTTGAGGCGATTGTGCAACTTAGAGAATATTAGCTGTGATATGTTTGGTCACAGACTTTATCTGGTGACACACACCAGAAGAACAAAAATAGCTTAGCACTTCACCTTACTTAGTGGTCAGTGTGGTTCCACAATAAAAACAAGTTTCAGCTCCTGTACAATTTTGTGGACCTGACAAACACAATGAGCTTGAGTTTAACACCAGTGTTGTAAGATGGTCATCTCTAATAATAATATCTATATAATATTCATTCTGTTATTTAGATTTGTTTTAAATGTTCACACACTGTTAAAGGTAAACAGACTGATCAGATGAAGTTCAGTAGCCGTGGAGGAAGGGGTTACGTTGTCCTACTATGATGAGTAATTTTCTGATCCACTGGACATTAACTAGTCTTGACAGTCTAATACAGTACATATGCATTTTTAGTAGAAAAGGTTTTGACATCCAGCAGGAGAAGTGAGTGAATGAACGAACGTCCAGTGGATCCTGATGAAATGTGGTCAGTATTTTTGTTTGTGTGTTGGTTTGTCTCATCCTCATTGAGATTCTCTCTGCAGCCGCTCACAGATACAGTACAGGATGTGGATGAGTGCAGCAGTGCATCTACACAACAGAATGTTTTCTGCTCCCTGTATCAGAGAAGCAGATGGCGGGGGACCAACACTCCAAAGTGCTGGAAACCAACTAATTGCTTTGAGGGAAATCGATATAGTGCCGGCAGCAA